GGGTATTCGTAATTTGAAGTTGAGATTAGTTCCTGGTTTAAAGGTAGCAAATCCCGGTTTGCCTGATCAAGTAGTCGTGAGTGAGATGCTGTGGGATAGAGCTCTCGGTCACCAATTTAGCCGGAAACTGAGGTAGCTTTGGACTAGCCGACATTCAAAATTGTTACTTCTTCTTTGCAATCCGTGCCGGTCTATAAATCAAAAGTATTTCCCCCCGAGCAATGTATTGGTTTTTAATTTTAGTTAAGGAGACTTCGGTGATAATTAAGTAGGTACCTGAGGGACCGTAATTTCGATATGCAGTTCATAATATCGCAGTCGTTGCAGCTCACAGATCGGCCGTAGTGGGATGAGGGTGCCGAGCTTGGGTGATCTGCAATGTCAGAATGACTAGATTGGTATTTAGAACTAGTTAAATCATCCAATGTGACGACATGGCGAATCTGCTTGAGAGGGACATCATGCAGTAGATGGAATCGCATCGCCCTAGTACTTTCCTTTCCTTTCAAGGCTTTCTGTGATGGCTGTATGTAGTAGAGTAGAGTATGTTCGGGAGGGAGGAAGGCGCCGTTGCCTGTCAATGGACCTCAATGGTCAGTGCTTTTGGCTGCATGTCAGTACTATCCGGGCGGCTTTGTACGTACTTGGTATATCTGCGTGCTGTGTGACATTACACATCGCCATGGGTTGAACTCTGAATGGGACTTGGCCGGAGTAAACAATGAGCCTACACGAGTGGTGAATTGAGTAAGCGTGTTTCTATCAGCAAGGCTTATACTCGTTTAATTCTATCCGGTGTCTTCCCGGAGGCAATTTGGGTTAAAATACAAAGATCCAAGTTGTGTGTATATACATGTAGTTATACATTATATTCTTCCCGACCCGGTGCAGGTAGGTCCTGTATGTACAGTACCTTGTGTTGTAGGGCCCGAGCTGCGTCACCGCCTCCTTTCCAAGCCGAGACCTACATACCTACTCCGCATCACCTCACCACTGCCCAACCACCCCCATCAACCACAGCCCACCTCCCCCCTCAGGAAAAAAAACCTGCCGGAGCGCTCTCCACCATTCACACGACCAAGAACTGAACCTTGCGTACCTCCGTCGAATCAAATACCACGCCTATTTTTCCTGCATCCTCATTGCCCCTGTTGCCATCGCCAGCAGGAGCGCAGTAAAGGGTGACGACGACGCCTAGTACAACAACACCTGCAAAGACCTGATCATCGCTCCCTCTTTCTTTACCACGAACAGGTCCATACCATCATTTATCCGTCGCGCTTCATCTATCTTTACACGGTCGAGTAAACCGATCGTGGACATCTAAGCAACTTCTATCGACAGTTTGAAAGGTTCAGGATCGACTTAAAGGAGGTTCGGCGTCCTGTTCGCGAAGCTGAGCAGCACAGAAGGAAGGAAGGGAATAGTGTGAGAGCTAGTTGGAACTAATAGCCGGCGCCCGCAATTTTCATTTATTCTAGCTTTTTAGAGGTGCCCTACGGTACCTGCAGCCGCAACTATGTCGAAGGTTATGAGATCAGTGAAGAACGTCACCAAGGGTTATTCATCAACTCAGGTGAAGGTTCGAAATGGTAAACCGAAGCTCTATTTTTTAGTATCATACATGCGTAGATAATTGACTTATAGATATTAGCTACAAGCAATGATCCATGGGGCCCTACGGGGGCCGAGATGAGCGAGATCGCTCGTATGACTTTTGATACGTTAGTTTACCCTTCCAGGGTCGTCGCAGGCTTTCATAGAGTACTCCATAATGTTCCTAGAGCTGATCCATAAGTTGCTACATAGAGGCACAGAGTTTTTCGAGATCATGGATATGCTCGATAAACGGCTAAACGACAAAGGGAGGAATTGGAGACACGTATTGAAGGCGCTGAAAGTTCTCGATTATTGCTTGCACGAAGGCTCAGAAAATGTTGTGGTATGGGCCAAGGATAATATTTACATCATAAAGACATTGCGAGAGTTTCAACATATCGACGAAGAGGGTAGAGATCAAGGAGTTAACGGTATGCGGTCCGGGTACATCTGCTATTTGGTTATTAATTATTGACTTCAAATTCTCTAGTCCGAGTAGCTGCTAAGGAAATCACATCCCTAATTATGGACGAAGAGCGTCTGCGCGGCGAACGAAAGGACCGAAAATCTTGGAAGTCGAGGGTTACAGGGATAGAGGATTATGCCTCATCTTCAAATGGCCACGCTCGTCCCGAATCCGACTCGCGTAGGCGTCAACAGCGGACATCCGGATCCGGTCAACGCGGTAGAACAGATGAGGAGGATATAGAATACCGACTTGCAATCGAAGCAAGTAAGAATCAGGCAGAAGAAGATAAACGCAAGAACGCTAATAAGCAATTATCCGACGTGGATGATGACTTGGCAAAGGCCATAAAGTTGAGTAAGGAGGAAGAGGAGCTTCGCCAGAGGGAATTAGAACAGAGCAATGCAGATCGCCTATTTGATGATGCAACGCCTACCACCACTGTTCAACAACCACAAAGCTTCCAACAGCCAATATACCCAACACAATATGAGCAACTTGGGGAGGTTGACTTTTTTGGAAATGCAGTACCTCAGCAAAACACTGGTTACTTGGCAAATGTCTACTCTCAAGGCACAGGGTTTCCTCAGCAACAGTTTGCACAGCCCACTGGATACGATCAAAATGCACAAATGCAATTTATGAATCCTATGGTCGCACAACCAACTGGTTACACCAATCCGTATATTGCACCTGTGTCACTTAGTCCGCAGCCTACACAACAGCAACAAAGCTTCTTGCAGCCTGGTGATAATAACCCATACGCAAATAATCATCAAGCAGCTCAGCCTTTGCAGCCTTTGCCCACTGGATCCAACAATCCTTTTGCGCCAAAGATTCAAAACAGTTTTTCCAATCAGTCACAATCAACAGGCATGCCTTCTCTAAACTTACTCCACCAGGAACAGCAACGCCAACAAGAGCAGCAAAGGCAGCAGCAGTTGTTGCAACAGCAACAGCAACAGGAGCAGCAAAGGCAGCAACAACAAAGGCAGCAGCAGCAGCAATCATACCAAAACCAATCATATCAACAGTCGTTTGCTCCGTCTTCTCCGACCCCCGCCGAAAAGCCTGTCAACCCACAGCACGCGCATCTTGAAAATCTTCTTGCTGCGGGCAACGCCAATGGGCTGGATACATTTGGTAACGTTGGTGACCTTCGTATCCCGGCTCAACACACCGCTCCTAGCATGTTTGTAAACTCGGCTGGAACAAGCCGCACCGGTAGACCTATGGCTGCACAGAGCACAGGTAACAACCCGTTCTTTAGTCAACAGTTCACCGGTGTCCCGCAATCTACTGGTTTTGGAGGCTCCTTAAGCCCCCAGCCAAATAGGCTGATGCCAGCCCATACGGGACCAGCAGGAATGAATGGGTTTGGGGGATATCAACAACAACAGTCAATGGGAAACCCTTATGCTGGAGGATTTGGTCAGCAACAGCAACCGCAGAAACAGCAGGGTGGTAACCTGATTGACCTGTAAGTACGTGAGGGGAGTGAGGGAGTTGGCGAGGTCTAGTACGGCCGACGCTAGCATTTATCTAGCGTGGCTGGTCGTAATTGTAGAGCGAAAGGTTATAGAATTTGTGTGGGTCAAAGTTATTTTCTGTAATTCAGAGTGACTCATTATTATGGTTTTTTTTTTTTCGCCCTCCTTTTTCCCTCTTTTTCCTTTTCTTTTTCGTCATCAATTCGAGTCCAACTAGACAAACGGGGTAGTTTGAGTGAAGCTCGAATTGTTTGGGATTTTTTTTTGTATTCTCTTTTGCTTCAGGATGAGGACTAGTCAAAGGGAGGCGGGGAGGATCAATGCTTTCGGTGTTGGTGTGAGAATAAATTGGAATTCTGGACACTTTTTGTCTAATATTACAATCTCCCTCTCTCCCTCTCCCCCCCCCCCCCCCCCCCCCTTTTTTTTTTCTTTTTTTTTTTAGCCTCCCATATCTATATTTTTCTTTGTGTCTAATGGATTTTACTCTTTCTGGCTCCGGGCGGCGGTGGTGCTACATGTATTCCTTCACTCCTCCTTTCTATTTCTACTTCAATTTGTTGTTATTGGGCTCAGTTATCCGGTCCTATAACAGCTCCGACCTCGATAGGCCTCATACTACCCGGATATATGCCATCTTTACAGAAGAGGATCCGGATTTTATGTTTCATATATATGTTTTTGAAGGGCTGGGATTTATATACGCGTGATGCTGGTTAGTGTTGCTTTATTGAATAGGAAGAAGGGGGTTCAAGTGCTCTAGCATAGGGAAGTGTTTTTCTATTAAAAGTGTGTGAATATCGCTCAAGAAAAAAACGTCACTCTGGTAGGGTTTGATTTAGGGAGCAATTTTTGTATCTGCATTTAAGAAAAAATAGTACTGGTGGTTTCTGTTATTTTCGCTCCGTGTAACTGAGAATAAGTACGTTTTGGTACTTTATTCCCTCTATTTACCCCTCCTTCTTTAATTTTTCTATAGATCTGTGTATAAATGATAAGTTCCATAAAATGAAGCCCGGCCGGGTTCAACTATTCTATTACAATGGCTACAGGACAAGAGGTGTAAGGGTAGTCTTGAAGACCATACGTACCTACATTATAATATAACCATGTTATGGAGGAAATTCCAGCAATAAACGTGACTACAAAACCATGTTTCTTATTGATTACGAAGTTAGTACACGTACCTTTGATTCGCCATACTCTGTTGGTATGATTATTATTTGTTTGACCACTAGCTAGTAATACAGTAGGTACAGTGGAAATGACCAAAAAAGCAAGAAACCCATAACAATATAAAGAAAAGGAAAGACCCCATAATATCTCTGGCCTTTAAGTCAGGGCTCCTCGGTTGTTTTTTTAAATATCAAATGAGGAAAGGATCGGCTAATCTTACAAAAATTCCCAAAAATGAGTAAGAAAATCTGCCGTTTCTTGAGTTATCATTACTCGCCCCTGCAGATAGCAATGAATTCATCTCGGCTGACTATGAAACCGTCAGCAAGTGTTGGTGTTCGTAGTAATAAGGGATGGGATAGTTTTGACATACTCATGCCATCGTTGTCAATATCAAATTCATCAATCATAGCCCTCAACTCCTCTTCCTCTAGTGTCTCACCGAGCTCCTTTGCGACTCTTCGCAGGTCATCAATGGCAATTTTCGCATCCTGGCCGTCTCCTATGCCACCAGCAACACCAGCAAATAGATCGAAGGCACGTGATATTTCTTCCAAAGGGTTTCTATCCAAGATTTTCTGCGTCATGATTGATGTAAATGAGTCTTGAGTTATAAAGAGCCTGCTAAGGGTCTGGCCCAACTGATTGTGTGGAGGTTTTTGCATATTGGCAGTTACACCATGGTCTCGGAGTATATGCAGGAGCTCTGATTTAGGGATATCGAAGCCGAGAGCTTTCATTGCTACCTGTAAAGCTATGGATTAGTATGGGGGGAAAGCTCTGGACAGGTAAATGGTAAAAATAAATGGACCTTGAGTTCGTGGTAGTCGATCATGCGATCTTTGTCGAGGTCGAAAAGATGGAACTGAAGTATGTTAGATAGTATGCACCAAAGCTATTCAATAACCAAAAACAAATATGATCGCTTACTGCCTCATTTATCTCGGCTTTTTGCTCTTCACTCAGCTCCATTGCCCCGCCTGTGTCTGTGTGTTGCTGCTGCTCCCGTTCTCTCTCACGCTGCTGCTCACCGCCTCGCTGCTGGTAACCAGGGACATTTTTTTCTCTGCCCCCCGACCCTCCAAATAACCCGGTACCAGTCATAGCAGATGTACCAAGACCGCCGCCTGTTGATGGACCTGATGGTGGGGGAGATTGCCGGTTTGCAGCACGCCGGGTACGCGTTGTTGAAGCTGGTGCTGCTGCTTGGCGACTGCCAGTACCGAGGCGATCTTGACCGGTAAACATTGATAAATTTGTGTATGGTGTTGTTGTTTTAATTTGTTGTTTTGGCATCTACTGTTGCGGAATTTGAGAATCGTGTTGACAACTTAACGAACGCGACTAGTCAGGTGACTCGGTTCCTGAAATCAGTGAATCAATCCTAGAATGTGTCACACAACAGTACCAGGATAGGTACATGTAGTTGCAGATAAGGCGATAGATTAACTACATACTCACTGTGCAGGAGGAAACAGATTGCTCTTAACACAAAGCGTTGGAACAAACTAGTCAGACGACTTTAATCGAAATGTATTTATACCTACATAGCTCGGCATATTTCTGGCCTGTCGAGTAGTTTTATTCACAGGTACAGGCCTTTGTTCGTTCTTTGCCTTGCTGTTCGATGTTCAATGGGCTGCACCTCTGACCAATAAACAACCTGTGGTACGCAGTGGGCGCGTAGGCGTGAGTCTTAACAAAGCTACGTGTAGTGTCATGATGAGTCAGCCTACCCGTTGCTGTTCAGGATTTTTTTCTCTGGGGGTTTTGTGGGTGTGGCAACCCTTTTGTTGCTTTCTGCTTGCTCCAACACACACACCACACACCCCATCACCCCCGAACAACCTATATCATCTTCGTCATCTCCCTACCCTTATCCTTCCCTTCCTCTTCTCCCCAACCCGCCTCCTCGCTCATTCCCCATTATCACTCCTCACTCCCCCTCTTCTCTATACCTTTCCGGAAAGAGTGATAGCTTGACCTAAAGCGCGTATTCATTCGCGCGAAGTCAGTTTCCAATCAGAGGATACGTGACGCAACATCCATCATCAAAGGGAAAAAACTTTAACGAAAATATTAACGACCCGCCGCAACACCTCTACCCCCACCGGCACTATGAGTTTGTTTGGCAATAATAATGCCGGGGGCTCAGGTGGTTTTGGTGCGTTTGGTGCCGCCAACAATAACAACCAGCAAGCTGGAAATGCAAGCGTTTTTGGCTCAGGAGGAGCGTTCGGTCAGCCTGCTGCTGCTGCCCCAGGTACGTTATTTTATTCGCTTGATTGTTTTTACGTGTTGTGCACAGCCAGGGAGATTTCGTAGTGCCTTCCAGCGACGTTTCTTGTAATGCCTCAGCGAAAGACGTGTCGTGATTGGGCGCGTCCTAATTTTCGCGCAAGGAAATAAATGGAAGGCGGATGATGCTTGTTGGCGATGGCGATGATGAATGCTCGTTCAGTTCAAAGACGCAAGGTCGACTAATCCACCCGCTCGTGTTTCTTTCCAGGCTTTGGCAACACTGGTGGTGGGTTCGGCCAACAGAATCAAGGCGCTTTTGGTGCTGCGACGAACACCGGTTTCGGTGCAACCACTGGAGGTACTTCTAGACATCTGTTTTTATCATCATCGCCATCGTCGCAATCATTGTCTGCTTTTATATCCGCAAAATCTGCCTGTTCCCCTTGGCATTGCTTCATTTACTATCCCATGACCATTAACCAAGAAGATTATCTTGCAAAGACATCGTCATTTCTTAATTTTGACTGCATATCTTTGCAATACTACTTCCTGCTATCAATACATGTCGTCACAATACTTCGCTATCGTGATGAAACTCATCTAACATTATGTCCGGATCTTATTCTAACATTCCTCTCCCTTTAGGTTTTGGCGCAAATAACAACGCAGCCTCATCGCCATTTGGCGCCGCGAAGCCCGCCTTTGGCGCTACCAACACTCCTGCGACGGGTGGAATCTTTGGCAACGCTGCCGCAAACACAAATACTGGCGGTGGATTCGGATTCGGAGCTCAACAGCAACAGCCCTCCAACGCCTTTGGAAATAATGCAGCCGCCACTGGAGGGCTTTTTGGCGGTTCGAAGCCCGCATTTGGGACAGCTACAACCGCAGCTGGGACAACTGGGGGGTTGTTTGGAGCAACTGCTGGGGCGGCTACTGGTGGTGGGGTTTTTGGGAATGCTGGGGCAAACACTGGCATAGGTTTTGGTGCTAGTGGCAATCAGGCGCTGGTTACCGGGACTACTAACCCGCCATACCAGGCATTTACAGAGAAGGAGGCGCAGGGAGGTACCATGAATCATTTCCAGACTATTGCGTTTATGCCGGCTTATGCTAAGTACTCTCTTGAGGTAATCTCCTATATTAATCATTACTCGTAGAAATACTTACATAATTTAGGAACTGAGATTACAAGATTATGCCCAAGGTCGACGATATGGGAATGATTCTGGCAGTGGTGGGGGTGGGTTCGGGGGTACTGGGTTTGGGGGTACGTTTGCCAACAATAATGCCAACACTGGGGCCTTTGGTGCAACGAATAATACTGCTACTGGTGGTGGTCTATTTGGTAACAATAACACCACCAACACAACTACAACGCCATTTGGAACCCAGTCGACGAATAATGCTTTTGGAGCTAGCAATACTGCTGCGTCTGGTGGCTTATTCGGCGCCAAGCCGGCTGCTCCTAGCCTTTTTTCTGGAGCTGCCACAACTACCACTGGAGGAGGATTATTTGGGGCGAATAACAACGCTGGAAATACGGGCGCATTTGGGAACAATGCTGCGACAACAGGATTTGGTACGAATCCCAATACTGGTGGCGGTTTGTTTGGTAACCAAGCCAACCAGAACAATCAACAAAAACCTTTTGCCTTTAGTAATGCTGCAACGCCAGGCTTTGGTGCAGCAGCTAATACGGGTGGTGCATTCGGAGCCAATAATACTGGTGGGGGATTGTTTGGGAATAACCAAAACCAACAACAGCAACAGCAACCGGCAACGAACACTTTCGGAGCCCAACAACCGAATAATACATTTGGTGCTGGTGCTGCTGGTGCGTTTGGGAATACTCCTGCACAGAACCAACCAGCGACTGGGTTTAGTGGATTTGGTCAGCAACCGCAGCAGCAGCAACAGAAGCCTGCTTTCGGTGGTGGATTCGGCACCAACCAGGCGACAAATAATACGACAGCCCAAGGTGGACTTTTTGGAAATAACCAGGCACAGAATGCTGGTGGTTTGTTCTCCAATCAATCCAAGCCTTTTGGAGCTACAACTACCACTACTCAACCGACGGGCGGTGGGTTATTTGGAAGCAACCCTGCCCCACAAGCGAATGCCGGTGGATTATTTGGGAACAATCAACCCGCTGGAAATACTGGTGGAGGGTTATTTGGCGGTCAGCAAAATACTGGGGCGACAGGTGGTCTGTTCGGGAATAATAATGCGCCTAAGCCGGCCATTGGGGGTGGTCTTTTTGGCAATAATACACAGACCTCAACACAAAATACGAACAATGGCCTTTTTGGTGGTTTGAATACAACTCTCAACACTACACCCGGGTCCCTCTTCAATAATAATCAACAACAGCAACCGCAGCAACAGCAGATGAACAACAGCCTCTTCTCAAATGCATTTGGTGCAGGGCAACAGCAACAACAGCTTCAGCAACAGGGCCAGTTTACCACATCGATCAATGATTCTCCATATGGACTTTCCATGATGTCTTCAATGAACAACTTCCAAGCTGCTCCGGTTGGACCGATTGCTAGCCCCCTTAGTTCAAGCATCCAGACCAAGAAAGCTGCGCTGATACCACACTACAAGATCGCCCCTAGACAACCTTCGTTGGCCCCCCGTCTCGGTGGCAGTTTTTCGAGAAGTGGCTCTCCTTTCGCAACTTCTACATCTGGAAATACAGCTAGCAGCACAGGAACAAGTCTTTCACGTTCTTTCTCTTCAAGCAACAAGTTGCACCTTTTCGATAGCGACGATTCTGTTCTGAGTTCAGGCTCTTTCACGCCAGGCTCTGGTGCCCGTGTTGCCAGTCTTAAGAAGTTAGTCATTGATAAGAAGATTAGGGACCAAGATTTGTTTTCTGGGGGTCAGGACCTTAGGAAGGAGGCTGTGAATAACGAAGTCATGAAGGGTAACGGCACAAAGAGTATTCTGAAGAAAACTGTTAGCTTTGATGTTGCTACAAGCAAGGGAACCAATGCCGATTTCTTCAGTGCAAATGGCCAACCTTCGAGAGAGACTACCGGCCCAACACCCTCTGCTGAAGAGATGGGTTATTTAAGAAGCCCGTCACGCAGAAGCATAGATGGCTTGTCCAATGGTGCTTCTTCTTCTAGTGCGCCAGAAGCTCAGCCTGAATCTAGCACCGCCCTTGCCGTTGTCGAAAAGCCTGCGGAGGATAAATCTCATGGTAGCTACTGGATGGTTCCTAGTGCTCAAAAGCTCAAGGATATGACCAAGGAGCAGCGGTCGAAGGTGGTTGGATTGACCATCGGACGCCGTGGATATGGCAAAATTAGATTCGATGGTCCTGTCGACATCAGTAATCTTGATCCCGAGGAAATCCCTGGTAAAATTGTAGTCTTTGATCTCCGGGTCTGCACAGTTTACCCCCCAGGCGTAGCAGACAAGCCACAACCAGGAAGCGGTCTCAACGTTCCTGCCACAATTACCTTGGAGGATTGCTATCCTATTTCTAAGGACGAACGCGGAAAAATCAAGGACCCTGAACACCCAAGGTACAGCAGTCATATCCGCCGATTGCAAAACATCAAGGATACTGAGTTTGTCGACTACCTCGCCGATGAAGGCATCTGGATCTTCAAGGTTCTACATTTCACCACGTATGGATTAGTGGACAGTGATGATGATGATGATGAGGGTGATATCACGTATGATGAATCCATACTACGCGAGAGGAAAGCTGCCGAGAAAGCTACCGAAGACCTCACTCCTACCAGAAGCACAGCTTCTTCATATTTTGATCGAGAGGATAGCATTGATGCATCAGATGCGGATGCGAGTGGCATGGATACTGGAGTATTTGACGATACATTTGATTTCAAACGGTTATCAAATGGTAGAAATGTTCGTAATGATGAATTTCCCGCGTCTTTTTTAGGCGGAGATGAAGTCGAAGCCACCTTCGACACTTATGACGACGAGGAGGAAGAGGCCGACACTACGATGACTAGGGAGTCTTTTTT